CACTTTTTTAACAGCAACCGGTCTTCCTTTGTATTCAGCTTTATCTACTTGTCCCTGGGCGCCTGCTCCTATCTTCTCCAATATTGAAAGTGAATTAAAGGGCACTTCTAGTCCCCCTATAATTTCAAAAATTTGACAGAGATATCAACAAATAGTCAACTTAGCGTAATTATCTATGCAAAGTAAAAAGAGTAACTCTGCACATTACGTTTTACGTCCCTCTAAACAAAGACTAATGTCAAACTGCTTGAAAAAATGTTTTTAATAACGCTACATCGAATTTGACAGTCTTACAGTCGTTCTTTAAAATTTTTAAAAGTTTTCTAACGATAAGATTCAGAATCTACGATTACAAAATAATATAATTTTATTTCCTATGATAATGGCCAATTTGCAAAGCATTTTTTCTTCTTTAGAGCTGTGGTTGATTGAAAAATTATGATAAATTGATTGTTATTGAATAGGAGAAAAGAACGAAAATTGATTGTTACCACTGCATAACTTCACTCACTTATCACTTAAAACCTGCTGTTGAAAAATATAATGGGCTATAGTTTGGATGTCTTCTGGCAGAATAAACTAGAAACGTTCTTTTTTTTAGTAGTTTTAAAGTGGTTTCCCGAGAAAGATTTACATAAAATTATGCTTTTACTACGAAACTCACACTTTTGAAAAAAACGTAAAACAGATTATATTTTAGTAATCGAAAGATGTGCAGTATCATTCAAAAGGAAATTTTAAAAGTATTTTAGAAAAAAACAGAGCTACACTTCTTCAGATAAATCAATTCTCAGTAATATTTCTCCTCACTTTAATTTGATTTTGTAATGAATATCGTTTTCCGCAGAAATTTTTTTGAACTGGCAAGCTCATATGCCAGTTTTTTAGGCTAGGAATGTTGAGAAAAACTGCCGAAAGTTGACTGAAAATGTGCTGCGATATAGCACAAAGTACCGACTTTCTCTTACAAAGTTTTATTACAGCAAATTTCCTTTCTAATCTTTCGAAACAGTCTTTCTATTAAGATAAAACAAATACTTAATCAGATTGAGTCTATAGAAAAATAATTGTATTTAAAGTGGTATAACAATGAGTAGAATGCGCACCTATTTCTATCTGTTTAGCAAGAAATTTGGCAACGTCCTTATGTCTCCACACTCGCGCAAGGCTAAGCGCAGTTTCCTGAAAAAGGATACCAAAAGGTTCATTTCAGCAGCTCTGAAGATATTCTTCCCACAATAACTGTTTGATGGTAGTTGAGAAAAAAAGAAATAACTCATTGTAATTTGAATTTGAAGTTCAGTGACAGTTCCAACGACCTTTTCTTCTACTAGGCACTGAATACTTATTTATTGAAACAGAAAGTTTTCTCTACAAATAGCGGTTTCAAAACTCTTATTTTTAATGAAATGTACATGGTAAAAACAAACGTCTTTATCACTGAAGTTCTAAACATAACTGGAACAGTAAAAACTCCTTTGTTTTTCTATACATTCAAAAGAACATTTTGCAAAATATTTTCAATAGTTTATAGCAAATCTTAAATTATTTGCAAACATACCTCTTCAAAAAAAGATTTGAGTTTACTTTTATACTCATATTTCCTTATTTTATAACTTTCTTTTGTCATTGTCTTGAAAACATTAGATCAGAACGATTTTTATACTTTATTCGTTTTCATTATTTTACGCACCTTTATAACATTATATGCTGTACCTCATCATATCTATGCACTACATATCGTAAAAATTATCAGTCTTTAAATTTACTTTGAAGTGCACCGACATTTCACGTAGGTACTATTTGATGAGCCAGAAAAATACTACAATTCTCTTACTCAAATGACCTGTCAGCGTGAACTACTAAAGTTAGTTAAAGACAAAAATTTTTGATTTTTTCGACTAACTCAAACATAACCAAAAAAAAACTTCGCATTAGGCAAAAACTTTTCTAAACTCTCAACACCAATCCAACTAAACGGTTTCTCCAGATCTATAAAAGCTTTAACTAATCACCAAAAGCTTTAGCAATTTAATTGCTTTAGCAATTAAAACTAACCTTACCAGATAAAGCGCTCAAAAAGCTTCAACAACAATGTAACCGAAACAGTTTTAGTTTACAAAATGATTAGCTGATTTTAATAAAAAAAAAACCTCTGTACCATTTTCACTAGTTTACATCGTTTTTTTTTGTGACCGTTTTTCTTGTGTTTTACTTTTCATTATTTTCTAAGCACCTTTCTTCCTTTTTAACTTATGCAAATTTGAATGGCAAAAAATACAGAAAGATTTTAACAACAATGGTCGTTCATTTTAAAAAAAACGTTATAAAGTCACCAAAAATATTTGCGATGTTATACCTTCAAGAAACTTTGATTAAACAAGTTAAGTTCCTTCTCCTGCTTTTAAATCAAAACTCGCCAAAACTCTAGCAGAAAAACGAAGGCTAAAAGAACTAGTGATAGAAAATAGAGATAAGTTGTCGCCTAAAAATAGATTCTATTTAATACTTGTTCTTCGCATTCACAACTACCCAATTTTGAGCCAGAAATTTTACTACTTTACGTTGACTGTTCCTAATTACAACTAAGTTACAGATTCAAAAATTCCCCAATGCCAGCAAGCTTGTTGGCAATCAAAAATAGCAAGTTTTTTCAAGAACTGAACTTTGCAAGACAAGGGGAAATATTTTTTTGTGCCAGTCAATTAACCTTTTTTAAGTATTTAATATTTTGGTTGCAGTGGCTCATTAAAAAATTTTTGCTTTCTTGGACTTGTAGGTTTTGGTAATTTTAAAAACAGCTTTTCTTCCTCCCCTTTAACGTAAATCACTAATAAAAGATTAATTTCTAGGCAATTTGGGCAATTCATGTTTCAATAAAGACGCTTAAGTTTTCGGAAATTCCTCTCCAGTTCCAACTTTAAAAAAACTTAAAATAAGCCCTTTTTGTTAATTGCTCCAGAATCAAAATCTCAAAAATTTTTAGAGAGAATAAAACTTGTTATGAGAGTGACAAAATGATAAGGAAAAATCAACAAGCTCTAAGAAATAAATTTTATTTATTTGTAGGAAAGTTGCCTAGAAAAGCAGGTTAACTAGTTCCATTATTCAAAATATACAGACTGCTTAAAGTTAAAGAAAGTTTTTACGGCATTCCGTACTTTTTCACAGTAGAAGTTCGCTTTTTTATACGCCTGCTAATGTGTGGTCTTAGCAGGATTAGAAAAGGTGGATCGTCCACCGCGAAAAACCCAGTTATGTAAAGTAAGCCTCTTTATTGCTCCAAAACCTCGCACAACTTCAGTAGAGAATAAAATTTGTTATTTGAGTGACAAAATGACGAGGCAAAACCAGGGCTTTTGAATATCGACGGCCACGTATATATATATATTTGAGGGAGCCTCAAACGAAAGCGCACTCCTTGCAAACTGCGGAGGAAGGAATGTTGCTATTGTCGCCGCCTGATGCAGTTGGAGAGACAAGCTCATCGCGTGAACTTTGATTAGGGACTGACAAGTCCCTCTTTGTTTCCGAAAAGAAATGCTCTGCAGTTGCTGATTTGTAATCATATTAGGACATTATCGTCAGGTCTGACCTTTTGTAAGAATAAAAAGACAGAGAGGTTGGTGAGAAGTATGCAACAGCAGCATAAGATGGTCAAAACGACAACGTTACGCCACTGATAATAAAAAATGTTCAATTACCCAAGTTTGAGATAAGACTGGTTGACAGGAAAATAATGTCATAATGTAGACGAGAACTAGTTTGTGTAATTAGTGTAGCCTCACAGAAACCACCCGGTCAAGTGATGTGTGGCACAGTGGTGTATGATGCGAGACGTGAAGCAGAGGGAACAACGGTTTGTTTCGTGCGTAGCTGAGCGTTTATATAGTTGTTACACTTATACCCTTTTTCGCTTTTCTCTTCCACTAG